GATGATAATAATATTGCTTAGAACGATTTGAAAAATCTTATTTAAAAAACGAACTTATGAGTTGCTATATTTTAGTGCTCCATTAAGCATACCGGAATATAGCAAATTTGTCTCATTCAGTTAAAAATCGACGGCGTCTTAGTGCGATATTTGACTGAACGCGACATTGACCTCCTTTGTAGGCTATACAATTTGTACCCCAATAGTAAACACGAATTTTACCTTATTTGGTGACCTTTATTTGTATGCAGTGTAGGCATGTACGTTCTTTTGTATAAACCTTATGCGTATAGCAGCTAGATTTTACCGTGTAACTGGTAATGTGCTCACCCCTCCGTACCGTATCTGTTGTGGGCCTATCTTACTCACTTGCATATAAAATTAGTTTAATTTTTCCAGCGCGCGTAACATTGACAGTTCGGTAAAATTACTTGGTGTTGCAGTATTTTACTACAACATCTTAACGTGGCCAGTTTAGAGCCATTATTTTATTACATACTGGTTTCTAGGCTATTCCATCAAGTGTGGGTATTCAGTCGGGACGCTTTTAGTGGGGACGTTTGTATTGGACGATGCAAAAATATCAAAGATTATGCCCGCATAGCCTGAAATTAGAAAAAAAAAACTGACTTCCTTTGATTGGAAATGTGTTGCTGAACTTTTTTATAGTAACTATATACGTATATATAGAAAGTATAACAAAGTATTATTCTTACCATCCATCCATTGTTCTTGGCTGGTGCACACCAGGTCGCTTGTTTAATGGTGCGGGATCATTACTGTGTACACGGTCCATCATCTATATATTAAACTCAAATGTAGTTTTTGCGTGGGGCAATTATCGACGTCAATTTCGGTACAAGAATATGATGTGGTTAATATAAGAAAGTAAATAGTAAGTCATGTCTTTTTAAAAAAAATATTAGGATATGGGATTTTTAACATGCAGATGAGTTTTCAAAAAAGATTAATTGCCCAAATTATTTGTCAAAGACCCGAAGGGCATATCGCACCTAGAACACAGTTTCGTGTTCTTCTTTTGTCGTAACGGACCTGTATTTGCTCGCTATTCTTGACACGAGAAGAAAGCCAGTTCCTTTTGAAACAACAGGGAAGAACAGCATATCATATTTGGAATTTAGTGAAGATTAGCTGTTACTGAACTTTTTTGCGTTGGATGAACCCTCACTAGGGTAGAATTCTCCTTTCGCCCAAGATCAACAGTCATTTTTCATAGATCTACATTTTTGCCAATTAGTTTATTCAAATTAGAGGCAGCGGTTAGTTTTTCGCGTCCTTTCGTATTTTTTGAATCGGTACTTCTAGTAAGAGTTTCAAAATTTGACTCAGCCCAAAATTTAGTTCCGCCAAAATGTTTGTATGAAGCGTATATATATATGAAGTAGAATTACTGTAGACAACTTGTTTGCGGATTAAAAAAGATATAGCTTGAAGATGACTAAAATCCAAACTGAAACTGTGAATGGTGGTTATAATTACGGATTACTGTTATGGATTACCAGGAATAAGTATCTTAGCCTGTGTAAAAAGAAAGTCGTTTAAAGATATTTTTTTTTTATTTAGAGCTAGCCTTAGAAATGACCAAGAAATTCCAAATTATATGCTGTACTCTATATATATATATATATATATGAAGGCTGCTACAGATGAACGACAGTAGACTTTGAAATTATATCAGCTAACTGGGCTAAAGTGATAATTTCTTCATTTATATTAGAAGCACTCATTTTTAATTTCTACACACTTATCCAAGCGTTCTGACAGCTTCCGGATATCTGTATATCCATAATTCGCTGTTCCAAATGAAATTTCTCTATCTATGTATTCTTGAATTAAATTGATAGTCGGATATACTTGCCCGCCAATTGCCCTTTTTAGGGCGATGAAGTCTAGCGTTTACTTCAACTAACCACGCTGCACGCTTTCGATTGTGGTGTCAGCGGTCCATGAGTCTCTCGAGAAACTCGAGATAGCGGGCTGAATTCATTGTTTTGGCAAGTATCTCATTGTAGGTGATGTCCATGAAGTTCATCGGAAGTACTAATTCTGCCTCGCGTTCGAACTTACTAGACACCGCCCCCAAGTTCTGTTTCTCTCCAGGGCAACGTCGTACGCTCTCCTGGTTCGTTTCCGGCTAGCGTTAGAGACTTAACCAATGCCTTGTCCACAATGACCGATTCCACCAGGCGGGTTTTCTATTGACTAGAGTTTCGCAACTTTGTCTAACAATAGGTTACATGTAAAAATGTTGCTTTTGGCCGACAAGGCCCTTAGACCCCAAGTTCCGCTTTTGTGAAAAGCCTCCTCGAAATGCGTTCTTGTCCGCAAAGTTTCAACATCTAGTCATCTCCTCGTTGGTGTTCAATACTATAATTTCCACTCTTGAAACGTTTACCCTATTTATGTATTGCAGGTCCTTTTTGCTTATCTATCTTTACCATTTTTCGATGAATTCGAAAACAACACTCGAGTACTGACCGTGGGTTTTTGGGCTAGAAGATGTTTTTCTTTTTTAATTCACTTCTACAGCAGTACACTCAACCAGTTCTCAGTCACGAGCCTGTAGAAGACTGAATGGTTTACCATTAAAATTTCATCATCTAACGGAATATAAATCAAAAGCTAACTTCCAAATGCGCCGGGTACGCTCATATATATTATATAGCTTAGCCTTATATATATATATATATATATATATATATAGGATGACCCACACAAATTATAACTTCATTTCTATTTAGCGTATAATTAATATTTGCAAAATAATTCTCCCTTCTGTCGCAGATACTCAATAGTACTATCGTTCTCATCAAATAACAACGAGATGTCAATTCGCACATTCAATTTTGGCCTTTAAGTATTTTATTATCATTGGATTTCTGTCGAAGACTTTATCTTTAAGATAGGCCCACAAGAAAAAGTCCATTCGCGCCGTGTCTGGGGAACAGACAGGGTATTCTGTGGGACCTCCTGTTACACATTTATTTGAAAGGTTCACTTCAAGATATGTACTTACATTATGATGATAGTGCGCAGGCGCCCCGTACGGTTGGAAATGGAAATCGCCATCTTTATCACCACCTTGCAAAGCAGTCAGAATATAATAACAGTCAAATAATAGACTAATTAAATAAAATTTTAATAAACCTCAAAGTTTAAAGCCTATCCAGCATCTTTAATCTATTTATTAAAAGTTTTATATAGGTTTTTTAAAAGCCGCATGAAAACCCAACCAACAATAATGCAGATTGTTAATTTCGAGCAAAAATTGATGTTAGCCTTGGTGATGTATATCCAGCACGAAAAAATTGGATGATATCTCCTCTTTTCTCGAATTCTGAAAGCCATACAGTGCGTTTTTCTAGAAGGAACCGGCCCTTTTTTAGTCGTAAAGATAGCGGAACGCATGCCTGCCAAAGAATTCAAATGTTTTATCATGCACCCTAAAAGGTCACCACTTACAGCAGCATATAGTTTTTATAATAAATTCTAAAAAACTAAGGCATATTTAATCTATTTCAAAACATTTATATCTAAAATAGTGGTTTAAATGCAATAAATGTATCTGGTTAATTTTTTCGGCGAGATTCAGATATAATTTGTCTTTTCTTTTGGTCACGTGTCTGTGGAATGACCTTCTAAGCAACGACTTGCTGCAGAAAGACCTTATTGTTATATGATTCGTACATAAATACTTATTTGTGATGAGTCGATCACGTCCGTAGTTTTGCTATAAGTATCATAGACGTATTATACCCCGCATAATATATAACCGTTACTGAATTTTTTTATAGCGAATGACACTTCTCCGTAGTGACCTTGTAAGAGCAAACCGAAGTTGTTGACTTCGATTTCCGTAAACTTCGAGTTTCAGCTAAATGGAGCTCAACGGGGAATCCCCAGATTAAAAGATTAAACCCAACATCTATACTTACTAGGCTTTGGCGCCAATAATTTATATAACTACAGCAAAAAACAGAAATAATCATTCATCAGATGATTTCCAAATCCTACGACGTGCAGCCGGAATTTGAGAAAAATGTCTAGTATGTCAGCAATTACCCTATTTCTTCCTATCGTAGATATAATTAAGTAACGAATTACTACAGCATAATGTATTTAGAAAACTGAGTTGGTCCTTTGCTTTGCGTTCATTGTATGCTCTCATTAGCTGTATGGGATTCCACCCACGTAGTAATATAAAACTTAATAACCACAGTTCGTAGCGGCTTTCCTATTTAACCTTGCTCGTTCATTTCGATTCTTGCTGCATGACAAACAGCGATACATTCCGGTTACTATTTTCGCTAATACCCAATCCGAAGTGTCTACAGGTATCAACCGACGACAGAATCACTTCAAGTAGTAACACCATAGGGGTAACAGTGTAACACACTGAGGATAACGATCACAGTCAGCATTACAAAGAATGGCTCCATTCGGTTTGGTTTTTTCGTCGCTAGCGAACGATCAGCTCATTCGTTTTCAGCCGAAGTTCAAGCGAGTCTAGACGTTAAACAGGCGTGGTGTTACCAATGGTGTCGTAGCTGATGTATTCAATAGAATAGGTCTTAGGAATCGTATCACGATTAGGAACACGTACAGCATCCTCGTCACAGGGACACGACACTTGGGTAAAGGTCAAGCAAACGACTGTCAATAAAGTTCTGACTAGAATTGAATTGTATTATCATCAGTTCATCTAATGTAGGTGATATTTATATCGCAGTTTTAACCAATGAGAGCTACTCGCTTCGATGGATTCTGTGACAAAACGATCGGGGCAAAACGGGAAGAGGGAGGGCATCCCGCGGCGATAAACCGAAACGACAGAATCAACTGCCGCTTTACTAAGTGAGTGGGACATTATTATTATAGAGCGGGATACGACTGGTGTGTATATGCGCCTACAGAATTAGTCACACGCGCATCGTTATGCCAACCCAATTGTAACGTCAGTGACTATAAAGGAGGCAATCGAACTGGTCCATTGGGCAGATCATCTCTGCAAAGCACTGCAGCTTGATCCCAACCCATCGAACATCCTACAGCCCTTGTGGCTGCATGTCAAAAAGCATCATGACTGCAATTTCGGTTAGTGCTGGGGTGACACTTGTAATAAGAAGAAATCTTAAGATTAATAACTACATTTAAAAGAGATGTGAACCTCCGTGCGCGAGCCTTGATAGTCCTGTGCTATGGCTAGATGCATTGGACGTCGTAATCCTTCAAAATGGGTGATGACTAAAGAGCCCCGACACCGGGGCTCCGCGTGTTATCTTGATCAAATTTTTGTGCTACCGCTAAGGATACTTTCTCTAGTGAACAGCAGCAACCTAAGCCGTGTTAAATTCGTCCACAGTGTCCTAAACAATGAGTTTTCACCCAACTGACATAAGTACATTTATGTGTCTGTGCTTAAAATGTGTTCTCAGCAAGGCTCCATTTAGCTTATTCTGTACATAGGACGTAACTCGGTATCCGCTATAAACCACTGACCAAAACTACGATACCATCTCGTTGAACTAAAATCGTCTTATAAATAATAGTGTTTGACGTATTTGCAGTAATGTAGCACCACCAATTTTAAAATATGTTTAACGCCACCTTCCATCAGCTACATCAGGTTCTTCAGATCGCTTACGACGAAGTTTATTATTATTTGCTTTTATATCCATTAAGTCTTCTTCGCTTTCGTACTGAATGCTCTACTAATACGTCAGCGATGCTTATACAGTCATTTGTACGGATGATATTTTTTATTATTTGCTAATTATCGCTGTTAACTTAGAGCGCGTCACCTGTATCATTTTGTCTATACCTTCCTATAGAGTACGTGAACAACTACGTAAGTTGTTCGACTAATATTCAAATTCGAGTGTTTTTAGGCCAAATACAAATAGGCAAATAGGATAGATTCTAAATTACTGAGTTCTTCTGTAGCACTTGACCTTTGGGTCCTTGCAAGATGCCTTAATACCGATTTGTGATTCATACAGTTTTAGATCTAGTTAAAATCAATATAACTCTGATAAATCATCAAGAACCGAAACGCAGTAGAGTGAAACGTCCTAAAGGATAGCAGCACTTGAGGTTTCTAAAGCTGGTTAAAAGTCGAAGTAATTCGAGAAAACGAGATTCGGATCAGATATTCCGTGCTGTGCGAAAATTAGCTGATATAGGAATTAGCTTCTTTGGGCATATTGTGGGACAAATCATAGCCAGTAACGTTTTTATTCTATTCAATGTCAGCTATTTAGAACGTCTCATTTGAATTTTATTACATGTTACCGACCCTAGAGTTGCTGTTACAGTAGAAATAATCCGGTGCTGTAATTACACTGTTGATAAGTTATTCTAACAGGTAATAAAGTATCCAAGCTAAACAGTCGTAGATATCTAAGCTACGCAGTCGTAGATATAAGAACAAAAGTCACGCACAACGTGCGGCCTGAAGTTGCATGGCTCAACTTTTATTGTAGCATGTCCTCCAGCATCAGTTGGTTTCAGCCAGCTGTCATGATTGCTCTCGCAAGCCACCTTTTGGGGTCTGTAGCTATATAGGTGCGTATTTTTCATGTCAATGTTTGTTAAGGCATGTAAGAGGCGTGCCTAGGACGATAGGGGGCGCCGCTCGGCTGGGTTCCCTGTGGATAACTCTAGCAGCCCGCACTATTCAGCTAATGTTGAACGAGTCGCCGGTACGTTCTGCGTAGAGCGTTTCTAGAGTTCCCGACATATACGTTATAAAAGATACTATAAGTATGATCCGGCAAATAATCGGTTAGTCCTCATATTGGTCCGGCCTGTACCTTCATTACTATTCGACAGGGCAGTTGTCTTGAGGCGCTAGGTCCAAACTTGTTTAATTCTACGCCATTTATTTAAGCGTTAAAAGATAAATATATATTGTGTTTAAAAATTACATTGTAGTACAATTAGCTCCTCAATTTTGCAGGGTGGTCTTTGCATACTGCTGGCAGCAAATGCTATCTCTATTATTCGTGCTGAAGGTTTCTTCAATGGACCGGTGACATTCGGCTCTGGCGATCAAGCACACCCTGGTGGAGGAAAATCTTTTGCCAGCGTGACACTTGGGGGTGCAGGTGACACAGCTACTAGCATTCAAAGGGATTCTAAAATAAGCACCGGGTCTGAGAAAGGTGAAGTAGTTAGGTAGAACAAATAAGTAGAACTCTGTCCGTGTTCTCTAGGAGATCGTTTCATGGTGTATATATTTCCATAGGTCATTCACAAAAATGCTTGTTTCTACGCTTAGGTTTTGCGCACTCACTTTATCTTTTCACGCTCGAGTTTTTTTCAGTTCCAGTAAATAAAATCTCAGAGTCAACCATCTCGAACCAGCCCCGAATAATTCAATCAGCGACACCGCAAATCTCCGTCGTTCAGACACCAGCGCCACAAGTTCGATATGCTGAAGGCGATGCACCCCAGGTAAGGATTCTTGGGGGTGACCTTGAGGACGGCGTTCCACAGTCTCGTGTGCCTTCGCTCAGCTATCTGCAGCGTACAGCTCCTCAAGTCACCATTTCTCAGGCGCGCCCTTCAGTCTCTGTTACCGGTGGAGAGACGTCGCATGGTTACACAGTTGCCGCGCCCGGCCTAACAAAAACCGGTATCTTTGGCTATCGTTCGGGTGGCAGTTTAACGGTTGACAGCGGAGCCCCCCAAGTCAGTACGGTGCAGACACCTAACCTTCAGATACAGGTGCCTCAGCAGGAAATTAGATTCGTTCAGGCACCTCCCGCTCAACTGCACGTACTTGAAACGCCTGCTCCTCAAATTAGGATCGTTAAAGCTCCGACTCCTCAAGTGCAAGTTCTGCAGGCCCCGGCACCTCAGATCCAAATTCAGCAAGCTGCCGTGCCTCAAATTCGAATTCAAAAAACACCCATTCCACAAATTAAAGTGCGAGCTCAACAACCGCAAATCTCTGTGTCCGGCTCAGCTACTTCTCACGGATATACCGTGAATGCTCCAGGTCTAACTAAGACGGCTACATTTGGTTACCCTTCTGGCAGCGTAAGTATCGCTCACTCCGCTCCTCGTGTGACTGTGGCTCAAGCGCCTAATGTCCAACTGAGAGTAACTCAGCCGCAACTACAGGTCCTTCAAAATCCTACATCTCAGATCAAGATTCAGCAGGTTCCTGCACCTCAGATCAAGATTCAACAAGCTCCAGCACCTCAAATCAGGATTCAACAGGCTCCAGCACCTCAAATCAGGATTCAACAGGCCCCAGCGCCTCAAATCAGGATTCAACAAGCTCCAGCACCTCAAATCAGGATTCAACAGGCCCCAGCGCCTCAAATCAGGATTCAGCAAGCTCCAGCACCCCAAATAAGGATTCAACAAGCTCCAGCTCCTCCAATCAGGATTCAGCAGGTCCCTTCTCAAATCCGAGTGCAAGCTCAGCCATCTAGGATCTCAGTTTCAGGATCGGCTACATCCCACGGATACACAGTTAACGCTCCTGGCCTTACCAAAGTAGCTACTTTCGGCTATCCTTCTGGAGGTGTGATTGTCTCGCAATCAACGCCCCGGGTATCAGTATCCGAAATTGCTCCTAGACTTCAAGTGCGATTACCTCAACAAACTCGGGCCCCCCAGATCAATGTTGTCCAGGCTCAAGCTCCCCAAATTAGCGTTCTTCAGCCCCCTGCCTCTCAGACTCGGGTTCTTAAGACAGCTGCGCCCCAACTTCGAATTTCTGCCCCAGTGCGCCAGTTACAAGTACGTACTCAACAACCGGCAATTTCAGTTTCCAAACCAAATTACTCGGTTAATTCTTTGGGCCTGACTAAAACTGCTACGTTTGGCTACCCGTCAGGCAGGGTGAGCAATACTCAATCGGCACCTCGTGTAACAGTCTCGCAAGCTCCTGCCGCAAGGCTTCAGGTGCGCATACCACAACACCAGATCCAGGTCGTTCAAACACCAGGGCCCCAGATAAAAATACAACAACCACCGGCTACCCAAATAAGCGTGCTGCAGGCTCCAGCTCCTCAGGTCAGAGTCCTTCAGGCGCCGACTTCACGAATTCGACTTTCCACTTCTCCGCAGGTGCGCTTACAAACCCAACAGCCTAAAATCTCGGTATCCGGGCCAGCTACATCTCACGGGTATACAGTAAACGCGCCTGGTCTCACGAAAACTGCGACATTTGGCTATCCTTCTAGCGAAGTCAGGATTACCCAATCGGCCCCACGAATCTCTGTCGCTCAGGAAGCCTCGAAACTGCAAGTGCGCGTCCCTCGGCAACAAATTCAAGTAGGGCAAACTCTTGCTCCACAGATCCAAATTCGGACACAACAACCTCAACTTCAAGTCCTTCAGGCACCAGGACCTCAAATTCGTATTCAGCAAGCTCCGGCTTCTCAAATTCAAGTCCGGACCCAGCAGACTAACGAAACTGGATCCGAAATCGTTACTTCGTCAGGATATACCATAAGTTCTCCCAGCCTCACCAAAACGGCCACATTAGGTTATCCTCCCGGCGACGTAACCTTTATTCAGTCGGCTCCACGTGTTAGCGTCACCGAGCAGGGTGCACCAAAGCTCCAATTTCAAATAGCCCAACCTGAATTACGAGTTCTTCAATCTCCCGCACCACAAATCAGAATTCATCAGGCACCTGCAGCCCAGTATCAGCTTCTTCAATCACCTGCACCCCAGCTACACGTGATCGAAACACCAGCACCAAAAATTAGCCTTCTCCACTCTCCGGCCCCTCAAGTGCATGTACTACACTCTCCTCAACCCCAGGTCCATCTCTTGCAACCAGCGCCTGTGTCCACTTACTCCTTAGCAGCACAGCCACAGATTTCGCTGGTCAAAGGTTACCGACCGCAGATACACGTTGTTGAAGCCCCCGCTCCTCGCATCGACGTCATACAGCCACCAACACAAACTATAAAGTTAGAAGCTCCCAAGACAATCACCACAAGTATTCCCGGCTTTTCGGTAAATGTTTTAGTAGCTGAAAATATTTAAACATTTTATTATCATTTAAAATTAAACGTTTTAATATCGGCATTTAACCTAAGGACTTGCCACACATTTTGAACCCGGCGCACTTTGCCCGCGTACTGTCAGAAGAAATCACTACAAACATCTTATCGAAGATAAATAAACGTATTTCGATAACGTTACATTCATAACTAGCCTAGCTAGAATAGAACAGTTACTTTAGGCAAATACGTGATTGTATTTCCGTTATAATCCTAGAGTATATTTTGGAGGGTATTTTCTACAACATAAATTACTTCCACTAGTGTGTAATGCCGCACGATATAGATAAATAGTGAGGAATGTTAGTTCTGACTAGTTTAATAAAATGTCGATAAATAGCTTGTTCTATTTGTCTTCAGAATCGGTGCACCATTATTTTAAAGCACCTCACCGTTCACTCAGTTCTAATCTTTTGAGCATTAAATCATTTCAGGCGCCGACTGTTCGCCGGCAGGCCTTCAATACACCGTCTCATGGCTACTCTGTATCTGCGCCGGGATTCACGAAGCATAAGACGTTTTCTGGCCCCTCTGTATATGGTACCCACCAGGGCGGGGGTGTTTCGGGGGCCTCCGGCATTGGAAACGTCGACTTGAGCATTAGGCAGGCCGCCAAGGCTAAAGCCGCCTGACAACTTAATCAGACTTGGATGATTGGGTCAAACCAATCCAAACTAAGATACACTGCTGTGAATAACTGCATTTATTGCTAAATAAATACAATAAATAAATACTGTTATGCAGCTGTGGCTTTATACTAGCTGCCGTTTATTTTTCAGGGTTATACCACCGCTACTCGACCGTGGAATAGGAGCAAATACTATGTCCGAATAGGTTACTATCTATATATATGCTACACAACAATGTAAACAGTGTCGACCGGCGTTGGGCATCTCATTGGGGTGCGTGCTCACGTCGAATAGGTTCCAAGACGCTTAATTAGAGTCGCTTCTTCTGTCACGAGTAGAAAAAGCACGTTTTTAATCTTCTTCGATTAAAGTTTGATGATAAAAATAAAGTCCAATTAGATTAGGTACAGACAGACGATGTTAATGTGTGTACTTTTTTATCCACGTAAAATTTTTCTTTAGAAAATCATGCTCAAATAATTTATTTAATGCTCTCTGCTATCCTGTCCTATATGGCAATCAATTTTCAACTATTTAATGTTTGCCATATATGAATCGATTCGGTATCTGCTTTTTGATATGAAGAACGCTAAAAACAAGCGCATGACGCCCGGCAGATATAGACCCAGTTGAGGCATGCAACGAGGCAGTATTTTGGCGGGATATAAAGTTAACCCTTAAGGTAGAGATGCTGTTGATTAGTTTGAATTCTGTTTCACTCTTCGTTTAACATCTTTCAGAGTGCTCTCAACTAACTCAAGAATGTGACTAGGAGAATTCACAAATCATGCCGAGGTTTTGCCTTAAAGAACCGAGTAATTTGTCCGTAACCGTAAAATTGGAATCAATAAATTCCTGCTATTCGTTCACCTTAGACAACCTAGCAGTAAAATATTTTCATCTAAAAAACATAATAGTAATAATAACTTAAGGTTTTTTAGCTCATAGCCTGATTGAGATATGAGAGTCCTTGTAGAGATAACTCATCCAAGGTGTAATTCGTGGGCTGGAATCAAGCATGGGCCTCGCCCGCTGCTTTTCCTTAAAGTGAATCTAGGTTCTTAGTCAAGGAAAGCAGCTGATTTATGAACGATTAATCGAAGAGGCATGGCTTGATGCGTTCTAAGATGTTTACTATTACTATTTCTCACGCTTGCGTTGTATACTGGGAAATTTGCGGTCAAACTGGGTATAACGCTATCGTATATCGATCGGAAGCTTAGTACATTTTCAAGGGGGATCTAAATGGGACAAAGAGGAAAACAAACAATTGGAACACCTCTTATAACAATGATCTTGAAATTAAGCTTCATTATTAATGAACTAATGAGACGACCATGTTGCATTCAGACGTATGAACGTCTATCCCTTTGTCGCACTCTATTCCCACTACACATTCACACCGAACACGTATTTAGAAAAGTTGTACCTTTAATACCAATGTATTGCTTTTTATCTAATTATGAAAGAGGGTTTAGGATTTATTGCTTTGGACTCAGACTGTGCTTTTTTAGTGTTAAGCTGCTTTGAGCTGGTGCCAACGCAATCGAATAAGGTCATCATAACATGTTTTTAAGACGGTCTGAGTGTACATACAGGGTGCTTTGTTGACTTTTGGATAAAATATATGTAACGAGTTTGTAGGCTGAATTTAAGTGAAATCTTATATATATATATATATCTTATATTAATCTAAGAAAATCAACCACCTCCAATCTAAAGGATTTCGCAAGGTTAGAGGGGATCTTCGGCACTGCTAAACATTACCCGATTCTGGGACGTCTAAAAGTTGCGTACAACTTTTAGACGTCCCAGAATCGGGTAATAAAAAAAAAAACGGTACATTTAAAAGTTGCGTACAACTTTTAAATGTACCGTTTTTTTTTATTGTACTTGTATTGCAAGTACTAGTTGTGTGCGAAATCTGGAACATTGTTTAACATATTCAAACATGCTAGCAGAAACTTATTGATGGTTTTCTACATGTAGTGTTCAGACCTTTTTTACTCACAGGCGGGGTGATACTTTGCGTGAAGGGATGAGAAACACTATCGGCAATATATGTAGTATAAGATTTTCATGTAAATTCAAGCAGCATTCGTCTTGGGAACCCTTGCTTTCCTGCCTGAAATCTGTCTATATGGCTCTATCAACAACAAAATGACGAAATTATGTTGATACGTTAATAAAGTTTGGTTGTCATAACAAGAATTGATGTGTGACGAAAAACCCGATGCACAATTACTTGCGACTTATATTATTTACTATAACAATTATAGAAAGGAGTCAGTACCAATGAAGAGAAACTGGCATTTGCTCAAGCTGTAACACTTCGTACCATGCACCCTTGCAGTCCAGCTAATCAAACAACAAATGGCGTCCTCTTTGCCCGATGAATTATTTTCCGGTTAACCTCTGCTATGGCCGGAAGGGGCATACAGGATAAACTTAACTTACAGCTCACATCCAATTAAAAGTTTCTTGTTCGATTCCAAATGTGCAATGAATAACCGTTAATCAAGCTGATCGACGTTCGTGACCTGAACAATGATATCTTAAAAGCAATAGATTTCGATTAGTCTCGGTGAGCATGGAGAAATTCCCCACGGAAACGCAGGATGGGTGCCCCAGGGATGTCTGGTCTCATTAACTAGTTCATCTTACACGAGTTTGTGGCTTTCGTGAGCATCTGCGAAAATTCGTTCGTATCTGAGTTGTCAGCTATTCTAGTCGTGACTGCTGTCGGATCTTCCAGGCTGCCCGTGGTGATGATAACATTACTTTTTCCCTCAATGATTCTGCGAGTTCGGCTACCTGTCCATCACACAAAAATTAAACGCATTACTTGCTTTGTATTTTATCTTTACTTCTATAATATTAAAGATAACTGTAATAATATACACGTCCTGTGCTGTGGCTACGATACGTAATAAACACTAGTTGTGCCGTTTCACAGTGCCCGCTTGCTTTTCACAGTCAAGCAAACCGATAGACTGGCGAACAAATAATCAGGCAAACCCCCCCCCCCCCCCATAATAGATTTTTCTCGTATTCTTACCTATCATATTTTCGACGTTTAGCGTGCGTAGCGTAAAAGGCTCATTACATACTACTGACTATTTGAAGCTTACCATAAAAACCTCTTCACATCGGACTGGCTATATGGGTCGAATTGTATTGACCACAAAGGTCAACCGCCCACAAGACAGAGTGAGTTTTTAACCTAACTTACTAATGACATAATACGAGAAACCTGTTTAGAATTTTAAATGTTAAGATGATTCTTTTCAAGCTGGAAATTTAGCTATTTTTTTTCGAAAAAATTCAAATATTGGTATTAGGTGACACGATAAAGACTAAAGCCTTAATAACGAACGACCGTTTGATCGATTAGTTCATCTCGTATTCTGGTAAGCTAATGCTGCGAATATCGAAAGTAAATTTTGCTTCGTTAAACGCCACGTTACACGCGGGATGGAAGAGATCACCGTTATAACGGGTTCTGGCGTAACGTCTTATGACCGTCGATGTCGACGCTACGCGTATGAATAACCTAGAGACCAAGTCGAACTACGTTTATACATCGGTGCGGTCACCCTTTCCTAAACGACCTTGTTTTCCTATCGACGCTCGTCTCGCGTGCGTACTTCGTCTGGACATTTTTCGCGCTGACATCCCGGCCTTTTCTTTCGGATCGAAATCTAGTGCACCCTCTTTTTTGGCCCGCTCACTTCGAGAAGTATAGGCAATATTGCGCAGTTCCTGTTTTCGCTTTTGATTCGGCTTCCCATAAAAGTTGTTTTGTGGTCGGGCAGCCACGCACTGCGTCGTCATATTCTCCGTGAACAAAAAGAAAAACTACTGTTAGCACACTTTATTGCGCTTATAGACAATGTTCCATGGAACATGTATATATCTCTGCTATCATCATAATTAGAATTTGATTGCATACTTCCTCTAAGTTGAAGTTGACTTTTTTATCTGTGGAACTGCTGGAGTGAGTTGACTTGCTTAAAGTTGCACTATTGCTCTGAGATGATCGGATTATAGGCGGTTGGGCTGGATCTGTTGAAACGCCATCCAACTCTGTTAGATAAAACTCATCTGCTCCTAGCATCTTTTTGTTTTTTCTCCGATACCCAGTGTTTCTTGTTGACCTTTGCGGATGTTCTTGCCCTACAGATCCAACAAGCAGTATTCATTTGTTACGCACATTGTTTATTAATCTATTGGTCCATCGTATTCATGATGATGATCGACGCGTTTAGCTCATTACCGCACGTCTGAAAAATAGACATGTCTACCTTTGTAATTTTCTAGTGGACAAAATTATTTATCCAGTAGACAATCCCGTAGTGAAATGCAAAAAAAGGAATGTAACTGAGACACGCATCGATGATCGAACATTCAATAAGCTCGCTAAGTGTTTATCCTATGGTAACCGTAGCTAAGCTTTTAATACATTGACAAAAATGCGGCTTTCCTATTACCGTTCCCAACTAATAACCCGTATTCGTTTAACACCGCGACTACGTCAATCTTGATTGTTTTTGCTCAAGGATGTCCAGGTAGACCCACCTTCAGATAGTTGTGTTTCAAGTCGTCGATCTCTCGAAGACAGGACATTTTTTTGGTATCTCCGGGTGTCGGCAGGTGTTTTTCTTGGTCCGATTGAGTCCTTAAACTCGTCATCGTCATGTTGTAGGACACTGGATGGTATTGCTCTGACCTGGTGGTGGGGCTTGAGCATGTTATGCAGCCGCAGTATTGGGTCATCAGTGGGTTCGTTATCTACGCCGACTGGCAATACGACGTCGGATACTATCCGCGGCGGCTCTTGAGGGCAAATTTGTCAAGACGGTTGCATTATGCAACGTGAATTTCAAATGTAGTTACAACCTTCACGTAACGATTCGACGCGCTCTAAACGCATTCTTCTTTAAGACCACAAAACTTAGAACCAAGATCGAAGTAACTACCTAATGTATAATAATAGAACAGATGCTAGAGCGTTTCAGCTTCGTCTCTAGGCTGTCATATTTCAGTGCGTACATGTAGTTTTTTTAGCTGCTCGTTCGCTGAACACATGTTACCAGTAATATCAAATGAATTATCGAAGTAGATTTGTAATCGATTTACATGAACAAAGGCCACTCGACGTATCCGTGACCTCTTTTTCAGAAACCATGAACGTTCGATATTGCTTTCTGTCTAAACGTTCTCATGGGACCCTTGAAGAGACTGCCGTAACCGAGGTAACAGAGCAGATTATGAACAGTCTCTCAGGCCTCTTCATTGCAACAGGCTCTGACAGAGAGGCGGTAACCGATTATCGAAATCTGGCTGCATTAGTCCTACATGAATGATATAATGAAAGCTTTCTAAGAGATCATGAACACAAAGGTAAGGGTAGTTTGTTATAACAACTAACTACATAAATAATGAAGACAATTTGGTAACTTAATTTCATACTAACAGAAATCTCACTGGAACATAGTTACTGCTATAGCTTTTTTTTAAAACGACCGGGGACTGAGCTGCTATGTCGATTCATAATCATAATAATAACTTTTGTTATCACCATTTGCTCCGTGTGTTTGTTTATTATCGACCGTATGACTAATTATAGTGTTGACTTCGTCTGGGTTGAGAAAAGTGCGGAAAAAATGCCATTGGTACTCAATTTACAATCTTCTACGTTGAGAACAACAAAAGGATCTACTTTGACTTAGAGTAAGCTGACGCCACAGGTAAAAGTAGAACGATGAACGGAAAAGTGACGACCCCCTAACGGTTAGTACAGCGTACTACGTAGGCTGAAAATTATAAGCCATTGATAAAAACAAATTATATAAAATATAATGATAACATAGGATTGGCCGTAATGATATGAAGGAAAAGTGCGTTTTCACTGCAAAAACAAATTATTCGTTCCTCATCAAAGGCACAGCAATGGCGTAACAAATGCGAGATGAAATATTTTTATAAACTTCCAAAGGTAAAAATATCTACCCATGTTTAGGTACAGCGTTGCACTGTAATGAGCTGATCTGACATCATAGTACTTACGATAAGTTTTCCAACTTTTCCTCCCTAAAGATCGTTCACTTACCTTCCGCCACTTCCAACTGTTGTTTTCTCGGCTTAAAGCTATAATCCAACGGGTTGTCGGTGGCTGGGGATAGGACGTGATGGGTGTTAGCAGCGAAAACTCTTGGATCTGATTGCTTTTTTTCTAAAAGTGAATCACGGACAGGAAAAGATGCAGAAATGGCGTCCGAACGTTTAACTGACGTTGAAATTTCCTCACTAGTTATCCGCTTGCCCAATTGAGGTTGCTCCCGTAGCTGAAGATTCGTATCAGAGGTGGCCGGATCCACACACGGTTCGACGTCAGGCAAGTGTTGAGGTTTAGGCACTACGAAATGACTTCAAAAATTGTACAAATGGGTGCTGGTGCTCATCAATGCCCTACTGTATTAATCGACTAGACTCAACCCAATAATTGATAACGCATTATACAGCTTACAGCCCCTAATTCATTGCAATGTTCTGTAAATTACTTTATCATTAGACTGTGTGAGGTGTCGCCTTTTCATGTAGGATTTAAGAATATCGTCGAATCTCGACAGTCAGGCCAAACGGACTCACAAATTACGCAACGATCTCAATCACAACGAATCACATTACGCAAACGATATAAATTAAAGGCCAACTTTTATTAAGGCCGATCATTTGTCCGAGCGGTTTCAAATGCTAAGAGATCTTTTAGTAAAACATTCTTAAATGAATATTCTTGGCTTGCAGAACGATAGGCTAGCTGAAGCAGATGCCCGTGCGAAATAACACTTTGTGCGGCATGTGCGAGAACTATTATATATAGTAAATATATAGTAAAAAAAATATAAAGTAAGGCAGAACATTCAATGCTCCTGTAGTAATGTTCATCTATGCTGGTATTTCCTAACTTCCCTAATTAAGTTTAACAAGTGCGACTTTTTAGCTAAGCTTGTTTCGCCACATCGAAACTTAGGCTGTAGTAGAAATATCATGCTTCCGCATAAATGTGTTGAACTAGTAGGTAGGTATGAAAGGTTGACGTCGCAAATTAATTGGATACCAACGATTTTCGAAAAGTTTGCGAACTCGAGCTGCTAAACAATATTTATGCGAAATATTGTTATGGAACAGTACTTTGTCTAAAGTACTTACCCCATAAAAGCACGCATCACTCCATATATAGCGACATAAAGATCATTGGTTCCGAAAAGCTATCAGCCACAAACAGCTATCAGATAGACACAGAACGAAGTTGTAACAAGGTGCTCCAAACATAATCCCGATCCTTGTTAAGAGAGAGAAGGCGCTCACAGAATCTCCTGGAGCACCAAATTATAACGTAGGGCAAAGACCCGTAATTTTCTCTTACAGACTTGTTTTTTAAACGTACTTATTTCAAACAATTTTTCTAGCGATTTGCAATCAACATAGCCTAAGCAAGGCCATCGAGGATTCGAACCCATTTCGCCAGGATACCAGTCGTTGCTGCTTCCCCATCGCTGTAAATAGTACGTAGTTCTCAAAAGTGTTCCCTGACGAAAAAATGTACAAAATTATGTGCGGTGTAAGACACCTATACCATTTGCGTATAAGCTCTCACTGTCCTATTCAAGCATATGCTCTACATGTTCCAAGAGATTACTCAAACACTCTGCTGAGGAATGACAGAGAAACGTTCACCCTTCATGCAGACTCAAAGTAACAACATAATTTGCTCTTTTGAACTTACCCGCCTGTATTGATACAATTTTTCATCGACATCCTTCGTGGATAGACAACCAAAGGACAGTTTATACTTCCATACTGTACACACATCGTTAAAAGACCCAGAATCAGGTTTTCAGCTCAATGTTGTTTATCTGGTCACATGGTCAAAACGGTAATCGGGTTGCTTCCCATACCATCATAGATATGTTAAAAGAAGTAGTAATTTTAATGCTAAAGTTTAAAAATTTCAAACGAATATCGGTGCTTATCACAACAATTGCGTTTATTGGTTCATGCCAATGGACCATCACTGCAACGATTAAATATTGATATTTGAAAATGCATAAAATTACAAATAAATATATATATATATATTTGGTCATTTGCATGACGTCTACCCCTCATTAATATGTAAATACCTTCGGACATATAATTTCAGAGTAGGTATGAAAATACTTGGTAGTTGGTATCGATCTATACAGAGAACTTTCAGTGTTCGAGATCAATCCCAGATGTCAATGCTCGATCTATACTTTTTCAAGCATTGTTTATCTCTTGAAATTGTTGTAAAAGTGTGTAGAAGTGACACAAATATATGAGTATCATAATAGTCACTGTCTCTATTGGGCATAAGCGAACAGACATATGTAGAAAAGATAGCATAGTCCCGTTGAATACTGTTTCAGATCAACTGATTAAAGACAAATAATGATGGTGGTGAACAGAGCTATGAAAATTTAGAACTCACTATTCTCTGTTTGTTCATCTTTTTTTCTAAAGGTTTTCGAACACCGATATACGAATTAAGCTATATACTCCTCGTGTTTCCACAATGGACCAAATGAAAACTGCTCGACGAAACTTGCAAAACTGACTGACAAAACAAATGCTTCGTATGGACACAGGTCCTTTAATTATAACCCTCTAAGCTATGTTTAAATATGCCAGTATGTGCCCAGTTTAGCCCGAAATTCAATAGTAATCCTGAGACACGTAACATCTCTACGAATATATCGGGGAAAGGGAGCCGACCCGATATCGATGCAGAGCGGATATAGTTATGTGGATGATCCCTAGATGTCGCTGCAGAAGCAGAGTGATGTAATCACTGTGATCAAATATCGTGTAGAAAATAACAAATGATCGAAATTGATCACTAGTCAACAAAAGGAGCTGATGTTAGTTTCCTTCGTTTATGAACAGATGAGGGCAGCAATAGTGTTGGGATAGCTCGCTTTAATTCGTAAACGCCTTATTCCTTCGACTCGGGAAGATTTTAATGTGTATACTAAGAAATATTCATAGTGGCACATTAAAAGGTCGAAATCCAACACACAATTGAAACATACAGCTGTCATTGGTTTTTCCTCAACGGAACTTCACACATGTTCACCTGCGCTTTACATTTAGCTGGTAGTCAATGCTTTTTATTCAGCATATCGCTACTCGTTGTTGTTCTGCACCATAATAGTTTTATCTACTATAAATACCTACATATATTTGTGGGCGCGGGAAATTGCTTACCCTCCAATTCTATCGGTTGATCCATTCTAGTCGTCAAATCATTAATTATCAGATCTTCTCTCAATTTCCATTCATTTATCGCTTCTTCGTTGGATTTTCGGCTGAGATCAATGGCTACCCCACGTGCCTCTCTTTCAGCATCCTCTGCTGCTGACGGATCTTTGAGATGTTGTGGAACCGGCACGTCGGAGGGGACATATACTAATCTAGTGCCCATATTATGCAACCCCTGATATTGTTGCCCATTGTGTTCTTCCTCCATGACACACCCGCAAACGAGTGCGATCAGTTCTTTGCTCAGCTCTAACCGACCTATGCCCACTTCGTTTTCCAGTAGAATCCAAAACAAGACGCTGCGAAATTATTTTTTATTAGAATTTCACTAAAACATGGTGGGCTTATAACAGGACTCTTCGCTTTTTCAGCTTAGAACATTTGATGGCTTACAGAAAAAGCTGTTATCGAAAACGACTGCTTGTTCCGTGATACCAAGGCAAAAGTTCCTTCAAAGACACGTAATCCATTGACCCATCCTTAAGCCAGTTCTCTTTAATCTACCTATTATTATTGAAGTCAAATTATAGAGACAGTAGTACTATACGATTATCAACAGTGGCTTAGGGACCGTGGCAATGGGCATATCATCAATACACGGAGAGATCTTTAAGCTGTTTTTATAATTTGCGAGTCATTATTACAAAAAGTTGCCCAGTCGTCAAAAACCATTTCTAACGTTCGCTGAAAAGCACGATCTTATATTGGGGCGTACTACAGATTAAAATTTCAGCGGCTAAGTTATTAAAATAAATGCGTACCTTTAGCCCGTGTTGAAATAGATGACGTATCGACATCATAGATGTTGCTTGCTGTGAAATACCCGTGAAATAAGGGGGCACGGAAAGCCTGATAACGACATTAAAGTGCATGACAGGCCACACTAAAGTACGACCCAGACAAGTAGACAGTGGATTTTTCTAAACATTTTTCTAGCGAGCTTCCGTCAATATTTTCAAAATAATAATACTTTTAGACTAACTACCTTTTGATAAATCAGCTTCAGATAAAGAGGCTCGTCATTTTTTTCACGTAGTATAAATCGTATTATTATAGTAAAAATCCAATTATCTGGAATTTTGAAACAAGCCATTTGGCACATTTTTAAACAACATTCCCTTGACGCCCTAAAAGTCTCCATACAGTGTAGCTTCAGTATGCTGCGATATGCTGGTATTTTGTGCCCACCATATTTCTCTACTGACTCGACGACGGGCTCGAAGAAGGCTTTTTCTACATGTAGAGATCTCCCCTCCTCCGCGTCCTTTAACATAGACAGAGAGCAGTACGCCCTACATACATAGCAAACACACGCGTCCTGTGTGGTATAGGTTCCTGGCCTGCTTATTCCACCTCTCGCTTCCACCAGCGGCACCGTTTGACCACTATGGCATGTCTCTACGGCGCGCGCATCCCCTTACCATCACCCGGTTGCCATTGTTATTGCCTATAGTTTTTACCCTCTCCCAACAGCCGCTGCACTTACCGACCGTGAGCCAGCTGGAGCAGGTTCTACTCTCTATTCGCCGTATATCAAGCAGAGCCTATGTTGTCTGCAGAGCTGTAACGCGTCGATAGGCGTCAGCTAACTTTATACGCAAGCGAATGAAGGGAGCCAACGACGGTAACGCACATTGCGGCAGCGAAGTATCTCTCTTACAGCGTCGCGCTTTTTAAAGCCAAACGGTCGCACAGGTTTGACTGAGTGCTACGAACTGCTGTTTCTACTGCCGTTACGGCTGCCGCGAAGGGCCAAAGTACTGATCGACAAGTCAGATGTGGTGGCGAACACCTCGCGTTGTCACTGGCGGGAGAGCAGTGATTTCTATTTATCCGTCATGTCCATCAGTTGTTGTTGTTTAGGCGGATACTTGCCATAGAATATTTGCTGCGCAACAAAAAGTGCTTTACAGTGACAATGAAGTTACAGCAAACGAAAGACTATCGTCGGGTATAGCTTGCTCTGCCTACCATCCGATGAGCGTTGCGGCATCAAACGAGGTACGCAATACATTGCAACAGTAAAAAAGTATCAGCCAGGTCAAAGAAGGGAACAATTATAGTGACTGTGACCGTTTTCGTGACCGGCGCCCACTGGAACCTCTTCCGCCCGCGAAGAGGCTTCTTCACCAGTCGTATGATCAAAAATACAGACGGACGAACGTTGTCCAGCAAACGTTTCATTCCTCTTGGAATATAAGTAAGTGTGTTGAGAATTTCGTTGCTAGCTCTGAAAATGCGATACTCTTCTAGCCAATCATATTAGGATTGTTACTTCCTTAATAACACTAATAAGCTGAAGTCTAGTTCCTAGCTGCAGCTAGGAACTAGACTTCAGGATCTTGAATCTTGCTTTAGGACGTTCCATAACGGAATCAACTAAATAATTAGCTGAACAAAGGCACGTCCGACGTTCGAAGCTTTTCGATACGAACTTAGCGGAACTTCCAAGTGATACGAAGCGCTCCATTGAGCGTTGAACAGACGCCGGCAGGCAAAAAGGGGTCCAGGGTGACATTTAGGTGGGCCGTGAACTCGGTGCGCAGAGCCGGTTAGGTCCGGACCCCCAAAAAGGGTCGAGTGTACACTGTGGCTGTGTAGTCAGGGCTAGGTGTGGCAGGTCAAAGGCACACCACCTTGTGAACAAGCACGGTTGACACTTAACGCTTATACGTTTTAACCTATATTGTCCGTACCCCTCCGACATTAATGAAATGAATTCGAAATTCAATCAAATGTTCGTTTTTTCGCGTGTATAAATAGGCTAACGTAACGATCGCAGTGCGTGGCTAAAAGGAGTCTTTTCTCAAAGACGCACTATTTTCTGCACTGCGTGAGTGCACGTTGTAGACCCTGTATAGTATAGAAACTTTATAGTATGTAGTGTTTGATCTGTAGCAGAATGCGGCCGTACAAGTAGATGACGTGATCTAGCTTGTTTCAAACAAATACGAGCGGGCATAAATACGAATTTGCTTTTGGTTGAAAGGATGATATGGTGCACGATAATGCATTCGCCCTACAGGTTGTCCTATGTTCTACTGCAACTACACGTCGCTAGAAGATATGAGTGTTTACTTTTTCAAGTAAGGCAATGCCTGTGTGCAGATCGACCTGAAGAAGGTTGACGATTTAATACACAGTTTGCACTAGCCTTGATAAGAAGTGTAAGATTTCCTTTTGAAGCTTTGTGCCCTGTGCTGCTTAGTAAACCTGCATTAGGATAAGGTCTGTACGGCAGTAAATACGTAACAAAGTTAATTTCATACGTCGTCTAGATGTTTACACTGTCATATATGTATATATTTAGGCTCAATGTTTGTGTCATAGCATAATGCACACATTCCCCATTACTATTTTTAACATTTTCATCACGATTGAGATTAAGGCATATGTAAATCAATTGATATGGGTAAGCGCACGACGAATTACGGCCTCTTACTTCGATACAGCAGAGTATTCTCTATTCTTTTTACGGCAAAATATACGTTTTCCAGTTCCCTAGGCTAACACGTAAAGCATATTCAAGCCACGGTTTGGAGCAAAAAGATCTAAGCTTTCCAATTCTACTGGGTCTTTGAAGTAATGTACCTAACTTGTCATAAAATCTTAGCTTATGTCACGTAACAACCGGTTCGTTTCAAGCTCGTATTTGAGGTTGTTTACGTCAACATCATTTTTAAAATAGTAAAGAACCATCAGCGTGTCGAGTCACTGGAGCCAACCGCAATCGCGCGCGCCCAGCAAAACTGCAGATCCCCACAATGTTACGTAAATCTAGGATATGCGTTGATGCATAAAACAGTATATCCAACGCGGTGATATTACGGTGTCCTATCGTAGTCATTTTTAAAGGACACTGCGTTTTAGTATTTGTTTCAGTGCTTACGGCCTCACAATTACAAGGTGTAAGACAATGCAAAAACGTTATAACTGAAGATGGACAACACTCCTTTCCTTTGTCATCATTATTTTCATTATTATTATTATTATTGGCCGTTTCTCTTCGGAATATTAGCGTCTAGTATTGTTTTTAAATCCTTTACATTTTTTTTTAATTTAAATATTTTTTTTTTAATAAAAATTGCGATCGGCTGTGTGAAACAGGCAGCAAAGAGAAACTTCACAAGGTAGACACATATTGACCGTGCTTCATCTGGAGATTAGCCAATATGATGACAGTTTATTCATCATATTTAGCACGTAACAAAACTACAAAGATTGGATCCTTGCTTATTTTTACCCATGTTTCATTTACCCACGTTTAGATTACGACGAATATTATAACGTAGCTTATGAGGAATGCTAATGATATTTACAGAACGATACTCCTTTCAGATCAAAACTGTTCTATGTTTTCTGCGAGCAACTGCCCCAGAAGCAACTCAGAATCCCTGAGCACTGTGTTTAGGAGCTGCGCGTAAGTAGGTCTAAATGAAGTTCCGAACATATGTAGAACACTTTCCGTATTTTCCGTATTCCGATCTTGTAATCAATTAACGACGCGGCAACTAATGACCCCTTATTTTTCTACTAGAGTTAGACATGTATTTTCTGAACTATTCAGTACCTTTATAAATAGACAATAACTATTACCCTACGAAAGTTCATTTCTCTGGCGCAAGTATTTCGTATCGAATTCGCAGAGACCTTGTTCTAAGGAACTATTTGCAACAATGGGAAATAAATCGTGATCCTTAAATCCTCTACGTGACGTTACCACGATGATTCAGAAGAGGATCAAATGGCCAAGAATCCATATTGACAAGAGTAACTCTTCAGAACACAAGAAGGCAACTTCGATAACACCGAAGAACGTCAAAAGAACGACCAATTAAATTATTGCGTTAACCTGTTTATCTGAAACGTATGCAACCTAGCTCTTCCGAAGTATGCGCCGAAAAAAACAACTGACACTTACTAAGGCCAATGTTTGATCAGCTCGTTAAAAAATTCACAATAACATGAGATGTATAATTGTAGGAAGCTTCCATGTATTCCACGGGTGACGGCCCTTCAATTAATTTGAACTCTCGGTTTTTCTATTGTTTATCGCTTGTAAGAGTAGAACTTAGAAACGTTACATGCTGCTGTTGTGCTATCATTGTCATCATCACGAATCTTCTGTTGGGTTTACGTCTCTAAATGGGTTCCGGATAAACAGTATCAAAATCACACGGGGGCACGAAAGCAATCCCACTATTCTAGTCCGATATGGATCGAGCAGGTAGAATGTAGAATGGCCAATGAACAATGGCTTAATAGCCAACTATTGCAGAGAGCCAGGTAATTTCTTCAACAGACGGGGCTAATATGATATAATCGTGAAACTGTTGAAGCTAATACGTAACAGGGACTCAAGGACAAGCTTGTGGATCGTTTAGCCAAGGACAACATTGCTCGTAAAGCTAGAGTCAACACTGTGAATACTTCAAAGGTCGAGCCTATTTATGGCTTATTGTAGCATTTTAACCGTTTGTCGATCGCTTGTCCTTCAGAAATCTGCCCGAAATCTTTCTCATGGGTAACCTTTCTGCCGATTATTGAATATTCCTATCGAAAGCTACTTTTAACAATGCTCTCTTGAACGACTTAGTGGTAAGTTCGATTTAATGAAGACTCATTTGAAGTCGACGACATGTCGAATCTAAATAGAGATCATAACAATAATGTTAGTTACAGGAACAAAAGCCATTTCTGGACTGACCTCGAAGTGAAGACACTGTTGGACCGGCTGTTGAGAAGCGGTCAAAAAATATTGTCATACAGCACTCCCCGTAGAATACTCCATAAAGAGTATTTTACTTATAAAAAGTTATTTATAGCTACGATACGGTACCGGGTATTTGAATGACAGGCGCTACGTTGAACTTTGCTAAGACTACATTTTTAACGATGTAGGGAGGAGAACACACTCGTCGTTATCAGTACAACATCGTATGTTTCCTACTCGGTGTGTTTGTTGTAGCCCAAATCGTGCCAAGTCAATTATTGGCAAACCTTTGACTGTTACCCGTACCGTTAGATGTCTACCATCCCGGTTAACACTTGACATAGAACCTCTAAGTCAACTAGCCCTAAAATTTTACCAGTAGGCAGTATTGTTTCCAATGTACGGGTAAAGCTAAACCCTAGACTAATGATGTGAGCCGGCACTGGCAGCGAGTATAGTTAAGGATTCTGCCTATAAAAGCTTGTCCTTCGATAGACAGCACGGAATGATGCTGGAAGCTTGCCGTAAACTCTGATATACAGAAAAAAAAAAAGGCCACTTGCATAGGCATTAAGAGTGTAAAGCAGATTATGACGGTGCTAGATACTTGTGCTTCTGGTCCGTCCCTAAGGATACGCTGAGGGGACACCGGCAGACAAATCAATATTATGATATCGGTAGTAAAGTAATTGACTCTATCCTAGCGTAAAACAGTAAATTCAGCCGATAAACGGTTCCAAACAAAGCGAACTAAAATAAAAATTTTGTTTCTTTTCCTAGTCCTAAACTGAAATGGTGTAGTCTAACGTATGACAGACTTAAATCTACGCATATGATACATAGGCACAGGCCCGTGTCCATGTTTGATGTTTTTGTTCCTAGATTTTGTTCGTAATAGTATTGCCTACAGTTACTGCCTAAAAAGCTGTAAAGCGTTACCAGTCTATTCTTCACTTTAGGCAGAGTTCTCATCAGCTAGCTGGAAGAGTTCTATCACTATCTTTGCCCTTTGCCATTTCAACCCGAACAGTTGCGCGAATTTCATTATGATTATTGCCAACATCGGGGCAACCTAGCCTGTAACGGTTCCATTGTAAACTACAGTAGGCTACAACGAGAAGAAGAAGCGAAAAGGGGCCAAGGTGGGAATAGGTATAAGAAAGAAAGCTTGAACCGAGACCGCATTTTCGCAGGGCTGTACTTTACCAGCGTCAATATTGCATCAGTATGCTCGTAGGAATAGCGGCAGACAACTTCATCTGTCCTAATAATAACAGCAGCAGCAGCAGCAGCAGCAGCAGCGATTGGTGGCCATGGGGTATGGATCAGGCTATACTTAACCTGTTAACAGTAATCGGACGGTAGGCCGGTTAATTGGTCGATATTTTAATAGGGAATGGTCGAAACCGTGGGTGTGAGAGTAAACTACGGGATCACTCAGGTACACCATCAGGTTGGACGGTAGTCGGTCCATAGATTCTTACTGTTATTACTATTGCTCATTCCATCCTCGCTTTTGCTAACAGATACTTCTGATCTGGGCTGAGCATACTGGCCCTGCTACTAATGGCAATAGTGGTAGCAGCTTTACGTCGAGGCGTCAACGCTGCCGGCCGCCGATGGACGGCAACGCCGATATTGGCCTTGGCAAAGGCCGCTGCTACTTTAGCGAAACAATCAGAATAGGCTACCTTTAGTTGTGTCCTTGTCACGATACCAACGCCATTTCATGCAGCAATATGTGACTATATGTACCTATACAACGCGCAAATGTATATACATATATGTATATGCATACCTGGCTCACAGCATCAACATCGTTTTTATCCGTCGTTTTGCTTTTGTGCCTACATGCTTTCACCGTCAACAGTGTTATTACATTATAAGAGACAGCAAAGCCTTCAAACCGATTACGTTTGGCCTACACTTGCCTGCCTGCCTAGTCCAACATGGGTCAGCAGACCAAGCTCAGGCCATCTCAGACCATCGACCGCTGGTTGATCCTTACACCCACCTCCGCTATTGTTGATCTTCTTGTTTTTAGAATTACTGTAGGCTAAAGGATGCCACCGGCTCAGTAGGGACGTCGTGTGTGATAGCAGCACTTCTATACGCCTATTTGGACGTCTGTTAATAGGGGGTTGATTAGGAAACATGCACATTTAGCACTGCGGCTACTTCTTCAAGAGCTAAAACCTCTCAGCCGAAAGGAAAAATATAATCCGAAGATAGCTTTAAAGTGAAACACAATAACGCAGCGTTGAGATGAGCCAGTATAAAGAGTTTTCTAAAGAAACTGAAACAATTCACAACCCAAATTTGTTGTAGTTTAATGGGTCAAGCTAGAACTGATTTATTCAGTACGCTTATAAGAACGGAGTTTATATATAAAGACAAGCGGGTTTATTACTGGACTTATATGTCAAGCTTTTCGAGAAAAGGTGTAGAAATAATATCATGTAAAATTATATAGACACTGTCGTTTGGTAACCTAGTTACAACTCCAGAATGGCAAGAACTTTTCACCCTTGCTCTCCTTATTATCCACTTAATGACGCTAAAAACTGTGTCATGTCATCATAATAAGTTACTATCGGCCTGGCTCGTATAAAGCCTACGTTCACATAGCCATATGCTAAATTTATCGTAAATTCAATCGAGGAAAGAAGACGGAGGGGGGAATGTGCCTTACGTGCTGCCGCGTGAGGGTTACGCTCGAACGATGATGCTGGGTTAGAGAAGATCAGCAATGCGCAACAGAGGCATTCATTCGTGTTGGGGTTAATATCGTTAATGGGCATAACGCAATGACCAGACCCAAGGCAATGCAAGGAGTTTTCCAGATGATCCGTGCATTGAACTCAGCACCAAATGGATAAATTTTGTTGCTATGAAGTGGTGCACCTAATTTAGCTCGAAATACACATAGAATCTGCCTAAGGAAGACACATGTGGTATCTCTAAAGGTTATTGTTCGATATATAGCTTAGCAATTGGTGTGTTTTAGTTTTGGCCACCGTTATGCGTGTGATACCTTGATTTGCCTATTTAAATATGATGTAAGCGCCAATGCGAAATTGTGTGATTGTCAAACTAAATTCGCTTTTTTTTTTGGCCTTTTTGCATTCCTGCAGGTATAATGACTAAAAAAGCAGGTAATTGTTTGTACTATCCGAAGCCGAGCAAAGTCCTCGTCGAAATAGTCTTCCTACCGAAAATATTGTCGCGAACAACTATCTGACTCTACCTGTTTCCGCGTAAAATGAGGATTGAGGTTATATAGCCAGACCGCAACTTAAAATACCGTAGCAGACCTAAGGTAGACCCACACCTCCCTTAAATTCAACAGGGAGAACTCTACTCTGAGCGCGAACAAGCGACTGTTAGTGGCAGGGCAAGCAATTTTTATATCGTTTCCTACATGATATCTTTTAGAAAAGCATATTGTTGATAGAATCAAAATTTAGATCATCACTGTTGTGTGTAATATATCAGAGATAATATAATTATCTCTGATTGTGAAAGTGTATGGAAATTATAATGGCGTATTCCCAATAAACACTCCGACTCCGTGATGATGACTCCGACATGAAACTTTATCGCCCATTTTCCCGGCATCTTCCATGTGCCTCTCTAACACGCATGTTTTATACTTTTGTTTTTAATTATTTGGCTCAAGCACACTGTTATTGCAAACTTCGATAGTA